TGTTTTCTTGGCTGTCCACAGTATTGTCAGGAGTCTTCTCCAATACCAAATTTCAAAGCTGCCAATACTCTTCTTCAAAGTCCAACTTTTGCTTCCATAGAGTGTCACAAGGAGCAAGGCCAGCTGTAGGCTAAAGTCAAGTAGGCACCAGCCTAGGGGTGCCAAATTTTAGGGGGCACCAAAAGTTTTTTGTAATTTATTTATATTTATTAAGAATTTTTTCATAGAACAAAAGACAAATCAAAAGAAAAAAAGGTAGAAAGAAATAAATAAGAAATGAAAAAGTGCAAGAAATGAAAAAGAGAAAAAATTAAAACTAAAATTAAGAAATATATGAGTGACTTCTGACTTTTTCAACAGATAATTACAATCTTATTGTCTCTCCTCCCTCTTAGATGTTGCACAAGTCCCTTCAGCCCCTCATTTAATCCACATCTTCATTTTCAAGGGGGTGACAAAATTGAAAAGACATCTGAAAAACACAATTAAAAAGCGAAAAGCAGTGACGATGCTTGGGGCTTAAATATCATTTTGCGAATTTTATAAATAGGGCAAAAATGGCAATGAAAAGAAAAAAAATTGTCCGGGGCTAAGAATAATTAACATAAAGCTCAAAACCTTGAAGTAAAAAAGAAACAAGAGGGTGCCTTTTTGAAATTCCTAACAAAATCAGAAAATGAGCCAAGCCACTGGGGGCATCAGGAAGGGTATCTTTGTTTTTAACTATGCTTTATACAGTAGATTGTTGAGAGCCACCTAGAGTCATTGTATGAGATATGACCATATAAGTCCAATAAATAAGTTAATAAATAAAAAAAGACTGCCCAGGGTGCCAAAATGTCTAGAGCTGGCCCCGATAAGCAATATCATGACTTATACAATTCTGATCTTTGCAGGTATAGTGACATCATGGCATCTGAATATCTTTCCCACGGCTTCATGGCTGCTCTACCAAGTGCTAGTCTGCAGCGTATTTCTTGATTGCTTGTTCCTTTACTGTCGATGGTTGATCCTAAAAGACAGAAGCTATCCATCATTTTGATATCTTCATTGTCACTTCTAAGGCTGGTTGTTCTATCTGTTGTCATTAAGCTGAAGAAATGAAAGTGCTTTGGTTATATTTTATCAGTAGTTTGAATAAGGGACAAAAAACTGGAATTGTTTTGTGCTGCCTCTTTCAATAAAATCCTTTGAACCTTTAAATGTACCCCATGATATCCCCTCTACCACTTTTTGCATTTTCTTTTTTAAAATACATAAAATGCCATTCTTACAATTACTAAGGTCCTGAATGATGTCTCATTTAGACTGATTTCCATAGTATTAGCATGTAAGAATGAATCATTTTACTTCAGAAACTTAAAGTTGTGCCTCAGCTATCAACAGCTTATGATCTGTGTATGATCTGTACCAGTTGCACGGATGGCTACCTAGTTCACATTTTTGAGGGATCCTCTTTTTGCAAGGGCAGAAAGGGGAGATATTCTGTAATACAATGTTATAGTTCAGCCATACCTGGTGAGCACTAGATTCCTCACTTTTTCTTACTAGAATTTCTCCTCTGTTAGCTTCTTTACATGTTTGCACTTCTCTTTCTGACCTGCAGGGATAGGCCTTACATATGTTGCTTTTAAAGAGGAGAATTGTATGGTGAAATTTTCCTGGCTAGAATGCAGCGTTCTGGCAGTTTCCTAAGGATCTATCCATTTGCATCACTCTAGATCAGCTCTGTGTCCAAGTGTAATGGTATGTTGGAAAGACCTTGGGAGATGGGGCAAAGAAATGCTGCCTAGGGAATGGTCAGATAAGAGACAGCATAGCCCACAGCTACATAATGGACGGGGCAAGAGCCTCAGAAGGGACCCTCCCTAGTTTCTCAGGCTATAAAGGAGTTTCAGACTTAAAGCTGTTAATGGGAAGTTAAATTATATACCCAAATTGAGAATTTATCTATTTAGGAAGAGTTTTGGATATTTGTACTTGGACTGTTGGGAAAAAAATGTAATTATATATTCTTGGAGGGACACCAGACTCTAAAGTTTGGCTTAATGAAATCTTAGTCCCTGAACTGCCTCATTATCAGCAGAGAAGCGAGACTGGGAATATGATCCCATATAGTCTAGGTTAAATTTGCTGTTTAAGAATGTATTTATAGTGATTATGATCGTAGTATTCTTACTATTACAGAAAAGTAGAAGAATGTTATATTACTGTAGCTTTTTATGTTCCTGTTGTTGTTGTTGTTCTTTAATCTTTTTCTGATGTTTTTCAATTATACTTTTCGTTGTATTATTTAGTGGATTTAAAGTAAATAATTTTAAATGAAAATTTGGGATGAAATTAATAACATTTGTTTTTAATTCCTACTATTTGTCCCCTTTATAAAATTCAATAAAGATTATATTTAAAATATAATTTTTTGTGTGTCCTATTTTTCAGTATATAATTATTTCTCTGATGGACTGAAGCTTCTCACACTTCAGTTGAAGCCCAGGAGAAGACAGTGTGGGATAATTCTTCCCACTAGGCCTATTAGGTCAGAAACTCCAAGCAGCTGATATTCTAAGAGGACTTCCAGATAATCATTTTATCTATAGGGAATTGTACTGGTTATCTTAATGTTGCCAATATTGTCTAATATGACGCCCAATATTTGTGTGTGTTTTTCCTTCTGTATTTCTGTGCTACAGAAAATCTGATTTTCCTCAGAAACCAGCTTTATTTCTGGCATTATTTAGATATCTGGGCATTTTTAACACTTCTCCTTTCTTTCTGTGATGTTTGTGATCAAGGATGTCATTTCAGTGCTTAATTTCTTTCTTTCTACTAGCACATTTCCGCCAACAGAAGTCATGCTGCTAACTCCCAAAGTCTTATATTCTGATTACAATAGACAAATTGATGGACAGTGTGTGTGTATGTGTGTTTCAGTGTGTGTGTGAGAGAGAAACATGCTTGCAAGTACTTTTCTTTTTCTCTAAAGAGAAGAGTTTATCAGGATACACCCAGTCACGTTCAGATGAAGCAGGGAACTAAAAGGGTTGATCAGCTTGCTCAGCAAATATTGCAGCATTTCCCACCCTTATGTGGGTGAAAGATTAAAATAGTGATAGGAATGCCAGTTGAGCAACAAAAACACAGTTATTCCAGTTCAATACAGTTTCATTTTATATCACGTTAACCAAAACTGGATATCAGCATGAACTGGTCGTCTGGAAATGCTCCAAAGTACTCTGAGATGACTGTATAAAAATGGAAGCCACTTCCATGGAAAAAGAAAAATTTGGAAATTGAAGGAGATGTTTCAAAACAGCAGAAAATGTCCATATACTTTGCATTGCATCAGACTGCAATTCAAATTTAAACACAGAAAATCAGAGGTCAGGGATTGGGGAAATTGGCTGACATCTTGGAAAATCCTTGCCTCCCAAATATAGGAAGTGATCATCTTCTTAAGGTGCAATTCTAAGAACCTTTCCTCATTACTGAATTAAAATGCTATTCACCTATCCTTGAGTTTGCAAAAAGTATCACTTGCTGTCTCCGTTGCCAGCGGCTATCCTGCTTCCACTGCAGCTCTTCCAGTTCATTGAGGAATGAAGTTATTTTTGTGCTGGTCATTTTTGAAAGACAAAGCAATTAGTTTGTTTCTCTGGTGTTGCTGCCTGCCCTCTTCAGACCATCACCATTAGGTGGGGGGTGGGGTGGGGAGGAAACCACCAATTATGGCTTTGCAGAAGAAATGGGGAAGGATCTGACCAAATTGGGCTGTTCTGCCTGGGCTTCTCTATGTTGCTTTGTGTGCCCCTCACAAATTAGATGAAATGTTTATGAGGAGGGAAAAAGGGGTCACTAAAATAAGTAGCTGTGATTTTGGGGAGATTTGATTGGTTGATTATGTGCCATCAAGTCATTTTCAGCTCCTAGTGACCACAAAGATAGAGTTCCTCCATGACAATTTATCCCTAATCTGTTCTTTCAGGTCTCCCAACAGTGCACTCACTGCCACGGTAACTGAGTCCATCCACCTTGCTGCTGGTCATCCTCTTCTCTTTCCTTCCACCTTTTCCAGCATTAGAGCCTTCTCTATGGAGCTCGGTCTTTGCATAATGTGTTCAAAGCAGGATAATTTAAGCCTGGTCATTTGTGTCTCAAATGAGAACTCTGGGTTGATTTGTTCTAGCATCCATCAGTTCGTTTTTGGCTAAGAGTTGACACTAACTTGATGGCACATAATCAATCAATCAATCAATCATGGCCTAGGGACAAGGTAAGGGCAATATCATGGGAATAAGGCAGAAAAATTGTATTGGTAGGGCATGATTGTGTCAGGTCCTCAAAAAAGATTAAAAGCTTGTTCTGATGAAGCTTAAATCCTGAAGCCCTTTAGGTAGTGTTGTGGGTAGATTTATTTATTTGTCAAATTTAGAAGGCAGCCCAACTCCCCAAATGCTCTGGGTGACATAAACATTAAAACCAGCAAGAACAATAAAATAAGGAGGAACAATATATGTCCACAAGAGATACAGTCAAACTAACATAAAATTCTCTAAGGGAAAATTGAAGACTAGAAGAAAGTTATCCAGGACTGTTGGATCCAGTGATATCCTCCTGAGGAGGGGCACACCACTGCTTCCTTTAAGGCCAGTATAACCCCCCCCCCTCCCTCAAGATAGCTAACACCAAACATGGACCTAACCCCACGTCATCTCCTAAATAGCCCTACTAAGTCAGGAGAGGCATGGATCTAATAAAGTGACTAGGTTTGCAGTCCAAACAACCTTCTCCACATCTTTGTGAGTTAGAGGCACAAACTCATCCCAGCTAAACCCTCAAGATCATGCTTCAGGCTCCTCAACAGGACTTGCCTAGTCAGAGCCCAATTCCAAACAAATTTCCCTTGACAGTTCAAAAAAAACAGCAATAAAAGAACCGAAGCTTACATATTATATTTAAGTTCCCCAATTTGCAGGTCAAGCTATAAAAACCCATCATGAACATCAGCTCCATTGCACAATGAGTTCCATCAATGACTGCGAACAGCAATTCAAAGACGAAGAATATTTAACAGAAACTGCAACAAGCATGCCAGTGAGAGCAATTGGTAAATACTTGCTATAGATTCAGCTCAATGGCAGGGGGAAGACTAAGTAATTTGTTTAGAATAGCAGATTTGCTCCATATTAGCTGTGTTTGCCTGGGTTAAGAGGAGGTATCATGTCATGTTTTCTGTAAACGTCAATCAGCACTAGGGTTAGAGCAGGCTTGATTTAACTGAAACAGTCCCAAGATCATTTGGAGTGAACTAAAGTTTAGGTTAGCCTCCCCCAGTTCTGCAGTGGCTTCATCCTTCATTTGGTACCAGGTGGTTTTTCTGAATGGCAAGACATTCTGAGAAGATAGATTCTCTTGACTGGATTAATGTGTTCCTGGTTGCCTGCCTTCAGCTCACAAGGGTCTATACAGTTAGGATGTCGGTAGTCCTTAGTCTTTTAATCTCAAAACATCTTTCTCTCCCAGAGTAAGAGGCTCTGGGGGAAAAGAGTCTTGTCTTGCATTTCTTTCTATTATAAGTTCATTAACTTTGAAGTTATATTGAGTGACATTATTACTACTCTTATATGTATCTAGCACTTTTTCTTCTGTTAATTAGTTGATCATAATAACATTCATTTAAAAAGTGATGTTTCCAAGACCCCTTCCCTTTTCCCCAATCCATAAAGCAGATTTGCATTTTTAGTAGTTCCTGCAAGTAAATTAGTTTAAATTGACAAGCCAAGAAATGAACAAGTAAAAGAACAGGTAAAGTGTTTCATACATCACTTTTTTTAAAAAAAGTGGATAGAACTTTTGAAAGCCTGAGAGGAAAGGACCAAGACTTCCAGGAAAAATATTTTTTCTTGGGAGAGGCAGATGTTAATCTAAACAAAAGCCTATACACTTAACACTGTTTTCCACTAGAAAATAGTGTAGTATGTTGTCCCTTTAATGGACCTCAGTTTACCATGATTTAGCAGATTTGCTCAGTATGTATTGCTGGGGCTAGGGCTCCCATCTTCCTTTGCTTCTTGCCCTCCTACCTCTCTTTCTTTAATAAAGTCTTCTTTACAAGACTTGGTATGTGCCATGCCTTGCTCCAGATAGACATGACCTGGTGTCACAAGCTGGACCTTCTGCTCATCTACTGGAAATTCAATATTGGGTTTGGGAGTATGGATTTCCTTAGGCCTCCCACTCTACTGATGTTACAGGCAAATTTGTCTCAGAACTGGAAGCAGTGGGGACGGAGTTTTCTGCAGTTGGGGCAGAAGAAATGACAAGTTGCTATTTGGCAAGATGGGGGGGGGGGGGGAAACCTTAGCTGTCTATAATACTTTGGCTTCTTAGACGTTGCAAGACCAGAAGATATTCTACTGATGTTACAGGCAAATTTGTCTCAGAACTGGAAGCAGTGGGGACGGATTTTTCTGCAGTTGGGGCAGAAGAAATGACAAGTTGCTATTTGGCAAGATGGGGGGGGGGAGGAAACCTTAGCTGTCTATAATACTTTGGCTTCTTAGACGTTGCAAGACCAGAAGATATCGAAGAAATTCTTTCAAAGTTTAGGATACACTGCACTCACCATCAAAAGGTTGTGTCTGAACATTATTCCTTTTGGAATTATTCCCAAATTTAGGGGAAATTTTGTTATGAAACTTAAATTAAAAGCCAGCAGCTATGAGTTTGGTTCTATGACTAATGATGGGGTGAGAGATAAAGCTGTATTTAGTGAACCACTTAAGTGAATAAAGGACAGACTTTTAAGACAGCCTGATCTTACTTTGGAATAGACTGTTGAGATATGGGGTGCTAAAGCACAACTGCAAACTGCAGCAGGTATTTCAACATCTACTAAGGACTTATATACAGTATATGCTGCCAAAAAAAAAGATGTGATAAAGCTCCAGAAAAGGTATCTGAAATTGAGAATTTAAGATTTAAAAATAAATTGTGCCCTTATTATGGATCAGTACATCAGCTCTGGCATGAACTTGCATTTGAGACGATTTGTCACAAAGGTGCCATGACAGTTTGTTACTTGGGGAATTGGTGCAACGAAACCCTTGTTATACTATAGGACAGGAGGCGGGATGGTATGTTCATGTGATTATAAAAGAGCTGCAGTTGAAGTTTAAATTAGATACTGGGATGCAAGTCAATGTCATGCTGTTACAATAATGTTTTGTGAATTTCCAGGCATGAATATATTAGTAAAGAGCAATGAATCTCTGGTAGCATCTGAGGAAACTCCTACGCAATGTTTAGGAACCATAGATTTGGAATGTCAAGCCATAAGGAAAATACTGTAGCTAAATTGCTGTTTCATGTAACAAATATTTCCTCATTTCCAATATTGGGACAGGCAGCATGAGAATGTTTACAATTGGTTCAGAGGGCTGATATGAGAAGTACAGTTGAACCTTTAACTTAGGACCAATTGATTGCTGTTAATTCTGCTGTTTTTGAAGGTTTCGAGATAGCATGTGCTAAAAATATTAAGTTTAATCAAAAATAAAAGCCAATTTAAGGTAGATTCTATTCAATATATGGGCCATGTAGAGACTGCTGAGGAGATGAGAGCTGAAAAGGCTAAAGTTAAAGCTATAAGGGGCATGATACCCCCTCAAGATAGACAATGTGTCCTTAGATTTCTTGGGTTGGTTCAATACCCATCCTGATATATTCCTATGAAGGCAGAATTAATTGCATTCTTACAGGGTCCGTTGAAGAGAAATACACTATTTCAATGGCTTCCAGAGCATCGAGAGGTTTTTGATGCAGTTGTGTCAGGCACCAGTTCTTCGATTCTTTGACACAAACAAATCAGTCACAGTGCAAGCTGATGCATCCAAGAGTAGTCTTGGAGCCTATTTACTCCAAGAGAATAGGCCAGTATTTTATGCATCAAGATCATGGGATACATCAGTGCAGAGGGATGGACAGACTGGAAAAGAACTGCTTGCAGTTCTTTATGCTATGAGCATGCTTGACCAATATGATTTTAGTAAAACTATTTTGGTGCAGACTGACTGTAGGCCCTTGGAAGCAATTTTTCAGAAGCTCATTGGCAGTGCTCCCGCTTGCCTGCAGTGTTACTCCAGTTCCAAAAGTATGGTTCTAATGTGGTATATATTCCAGGTAAATTAATGTATCTTGCTGATAGTTTGTCCAGGGCATCTGTGGATCCCCCCAGAAGTAAAGAAGATTTGGGTGAAGGGGAGAGGGTGATTTATGCTTTGGGTACGCTGGCCATGGATTCAGCGGGCAAGGCCACCATACTAGAAGCTATGAAGCAAGATATTCAGTTATAGTCAGTTATGGTATATATAGGCTACAGATGGCCACAGTATTTGAAAGATGTGGCCCCCGGGGCAAAAGCTCTTTGGTTTGTAAGAGATTTTCTATATTCTAGTGATGGCATTCTCTATACGAGGGATAGAGTTATTATTCTAGAGGCTTAAAGAAAAAGGATGTTTTTCCAATTTCACAAAGTTGAAAGTCACCACTCCCTTTCATAGGATTTGAGCTAGGACAAAGGAAATCATGTCTTCGCTAGCGACATTGAAAAGATGGTTGTTAATTGTTCTGATTGTGCCAGGTATGCCCCTAGAAATCAAAAGGAGACACGAATACCATATGAGATATTTTACAGTATACTGTTTTGATATTTATTTCGGCACACATGTGTAATTTCTTTTAATTGTATCTATGCGATGGAATGGTTTGGTGAAGGCCATGCTTGGGGAGATAAGCATTTCCTTAGCCCCCAGAAT